CAATGAACACACTTGGTAAAATTACTACCAACACAACAAGATTACAAGGCTGTGCAGCAAGAAATGCCCCACAAACCACAAGGGGCTCACCCCCGCTGAGTGCTGCTGCTGTTGCCCAACTACTGAAATGTTCACCTGTTTAAGCAAGAGAAAAGCCTTTCTGCAGAGTCTTTTTTTATCAAGTTCAGACTTAGTAACTGTAGAAATGCACACGGTAGAAACACTGTACCAATGGCAAGCATAGCCCTATGGTGGCAAATCATTTTTGTATGAATACTCATAGGTTAAATGAACAAAAACACAACCTAAAAATAAAGGAATTGTGCAGTATGTGACATACAAGCGGACAGTCCTGTAACGTTTCATTTCCTCTGGGGTTTCTGGTGTGTTACAACATGTGTGACAGTGGTTGAGGTTTCTGACCACTGACAGGACTTTCACCAACTAACCAACCAGCCTGAAGGCAGCACCAGACCGTGACACTGACAAAACACTTGCATGCAGTGGGCAGAAAATGCCCCCGCCACCTCCCCTCATACCACCCCTCATATTCCCCCAGGCCAGGTGATCTGCAGCCCCACCCTCTGTCGACCGGTCCGCACACACACAACCAGCCAGCTGAGCTCCCAGCCCCTGCCAGGAAACCACCAACACAAACCCATTTCCTGAGGGCAGAAGCCAAAACCAACGGTTGGGGGTGGTGTTTACCAATAAGGCTGTACTGTGAGGTTTAAGGCTACAGTTTGGGGTTGAGTCGCAGCAGAACGTTTGGCGTACACCAAACATTATGGCCAGCACATTGGGAAACTTGGGAAACCACTTGGGAAAGGCTGGACTGCAAAGGGGATCATTTAAGATCAGGCTTTTGGCTTTTCACTAGAGTTGCTGTAAAATGGGTAATGCAAGGACTCAACATTGACAAATAAAAATAAAGACAAATCCCATAAAAAAATGGTAGCTTTCTGTAGTTAAAAACAAAAAGGATTTTACAATCTCACATGAGAAAAGATGGAGAGACACTGGCAAACAGACACCATGAATCTGCTTTATCTCTATCCAACCACCGCAATCTCAGCCTAAATTAGTAATGTTCATGCTTTTATTTACTTGCAAAATCCCATTATGCCCGTGGCACTGTGGGCAAAAATGCTTTTTATACACATTACCGTGGCTGCAAATAAGATAAGGCACCACTCCTGAGAGGGAATATGTGACTGTATGAGAGCAAACTTGCTTTGAATGTTATTAGGCTATTCATCAATCAGAAAAAATGGACAAACATCTGAGACTGGTGGTCAGTTTGTTAAATGTTAGAAGCACTGATGTAAAACAGCAAAGGATATGACTGCAGAGCCTTTAAAGAAGTTATATCGGCCCTTTAACTTCAATTGTTCACCCTGTAAACCTGTGTGGTCAATCACAGGGAGGGAGCGTAGTAATAAGTAATTGCTACAGCAGTAGACAATGGTCAACTGGTGATAAGTTCTTAAATGACTGTTGTGTAAATTATAGTTTTTCTTCTTTTTATTCCACACCTCAATCACATAATTTCCTCCAAGAAAATAGTTCCCTTCAGTCCCTTGCGATCTCTCCTGTTAGCTCAGTCCGCCCTGTCGGGATGTGCCAACATGTTTGTTTCCTTGATTCCTCATCAAGGCCGTTTTCACACAGGGGACTATTAAAATCAGGGTCCTGTAGGGAGATTATTTTGACAAGTGGAAAGCATTATAGCTTTTTTTCTTCCCCTACATGCCTGGACTGCTACTGATGGATAAACTGCCAACACCTACCCTCCAGCCACGTATCGCTCTTGGACATACATTCATCAGGGTTTCTCAGAATTCTTCCTACACAGTGCTCTTAAAGTGACTACTTCAGCGTAGGAGGTGAGAGTTCACAATGAAGATTCAACGCCCACTTCATACCACTTATTTGAAGGTAATCATGTCTTGTAGGTATAAAGCTACACCCTATATTTCCATTTCTACCAGGAAGTGCGAGCACGCTGCCACTGCCATTTGCCGCCTGCACAAAGCACTGCAACGCACCTACATTCTGGTGGAGATATGATGACACTCCATAAGAACCATTTCCCTCTGTGAGCTGCTCTATAAATGCAGGTCCTGAGGTGCCACCGCTGCATTCATCACTGTAATCCCAATGTAAGAGCCTGTATAAAGATAATTGCAACAAATACATGACAGTGCAATCCCTCTTCACCCACACAAAAGGGTGGGAAAACTCCATTTATCTTAAGCTGGATTCATCCTCTCTGCTTCGACTTATTTCATTTTATAGAGAGCAAAGCAGCACACGGAGGACTTTAAGAGTCTGTAAGTAGTTGTAACAACACGCACATATATGTACGACTAATTGGGGGGGCTGCAGTCGCGCGCTTTAGCTACTCGTTTTAAAGGCAGATCCTACAGGTGTTTCAGGTTATTGAGATATTCCTTCGAGCCTTACATCTTTGTTATGCAGACGAGGGAGGGAGGAAATCTGGCTGCGGTGACTTGTGTTTACTGAGAGCCACCAATGCCGTCCTCCCTACCAACACTCCTGCTGCTGCTCCCTCCCCGGGGTAAACATAACAGAGACAGTCGATTCCACACGGATTTCACTTGGCTCAGACGCCTGAAGGTAGAGATGGACAAATGTGCTTCATTTAAAAACCAGGGCATTAAGCAAACAGACCGTCAGCGCTATTGACAGGATGAAACTGTTATTGTTAAACTGTGCTATGACCGTAGCTGTGTCAACTTGTTATTTGCGTCAAAGAGTTTCTCTTTTGTCTGTGAGTAACAAACACTCACAGGCAGCACACACACACACACACACACATTATTGTGCACAGGATGCACTCGAAAACTTTCAATCCACAACACAAAAAGTCCTTTCACCCACTCCAGTGGACAGGACTTGGCGTAAGGGAGCTTATAATGGGATCACACTGGTCCACAGGTGAAATTGTCCATACTTGTCTCTTTGGGTTTACAGTAATGATCAGATAAGCTGGCTCATTCACAGACCCCGGAGAAAGACAACTGGTTCCCTTTGAGCTACCTGCCAACAAAATGTGACTATCTCAAGTGGTGTGGAAATATGCAACCTAGGTGTTTTAAAAGATAATTCAAAGCCATAAAGCCATTCCCTTTGAAAACAACAAGCCTGCCGGTCCTTAAATCTTGACCGATAAGCTCTGGCCGAGATAATAGAAGTAGACTTGGAACGAGCAAGGCTCACGCAGGACCCTATCTTTACACAAACTGAAAGGTTCAGAGCAGCTGTTTCGGGTGGGACATTTGTCCCACAGTAGTAGTCCATTGTCCACGAGGACAGGAGGAGCAGTGTGTGTCTGCGTACATGCATGATAAAAAGCTTCTGCACTTGAACTTGGCTAAGTGGTGCTTCAGGGCAATGAGGCTACCCGGGCACAAGTGCCGTTATTCATGTTTTTAGAGGACTTTTTAAAAGTTGCATTCCTCACTTCCCAGGGGAAGATAAACCGCCTAACACAGGAACCTGGGAGCCAGAGGAGGCTTTGGGTCTTTGGTCTTTAACCCCACATTCCCAGCAACACACACACACAAACAGATCCTGAAAACTCTGTAACAAGACGCCTAATTGTCACTCAGGATTCACAATTGCCACTGGACACAGTGGTTGCAATATGCAGCAGTTAGAGCCAAAATGTTGATTGGGAAGACAGAGAGTTGTGTTGTGTGTAAATAAATTGTGTCATTCAGCTCGATAAGTGCTGAAGTTCCCTAAACACTGGAGGATGTTCCATGAAAAATGTCCCAAATTGGCTCATTTCCTAAATGAGCTGGCAGACAGGGTTTCAACTGTTGTCAGTCTTGTCCTGAGGATAATTCTTAATTTACAAGAAATGTAATTTGTGAACTATGACAAGCAACACAGAAACAGGAATTATGGTAAGACCTGTCATAAATCTGAGTGAATAAAAGGGAGGTTTATTAGTTATGACACATTCGGGTCTATTTGTTTACTCACTCTGAGGGGACAGTTTGTTCTTTCTATCACTGGAAATGTGAAATGTTACTTACTGAAGATGTCAGAAGTCATGACTTGTGATATTTAGTTGCATTTCTAAGAGTTAATTGCATTTTTAAGGTCAAGGAACTTAAAATTAAGACACATTATAGGAGGAATTTGATAATGGAAAAAAATGTTTCCAGGTGCAAATAAAGTCTGACACATTAAGAATAGTTTTCAAACCAACAGGATCATTGTCAGACAGAGTTATTGTTGTTATCCACAATATCTCAATGTTCCCTTGAGCAAGACATTTTATCCCTAAATAAATGATGTCTATTCACAGAATGCTGTTTGTGTATGTCCCTCTTCATGCAACTGTCACTACATCTTAAAATGCTGCAAACACAAGTCATCAAGCCTGATTACATAAGTTTAAAAAAAACAGGAGGTCGACAAATTACTCAGAAACAGACAAGACCGTCAAACTCAATTAAGAAACCATTGTGCCTGTTGTGGAAGATGAGGTGAAAACCTAACTCATGAATTACACAAACAATCCTAATCAAGTTACAACGTGATGTGTCCGGACTGTCTGAGTAAACAGTGCTGGAGGTTTGTTGCTGCAGGGACCTCCGGGGGACTTTAACATGGGGGGCCCCAGCAAAACGAGAAAGACTTTAATTTAAGTCTTAACTCACTCAAAAGTGACTGTTATGTGGAAGGAATAAACATAAAGACCCCGACAGCTGGTCTCACTCTCCGTGTTACAGTTGATAGACAATTAAGTTATGCAACTTAACGCAGAGCCACAAAAATCCCCTCAGACTGGATTCCTTGAGAGAACCCGTACCAACATGGGGTCCCCTGCCCACTGGCTATTTATCTGTGTCTTTGTGGAAAAGTTTCTACGCTGCTGTGCACTTTTATTTTCTTCACAAACATTGTCACCCCGTTATGGTCTGGTCAATAAATAGGCTAGGGCAACTAAGCGATTTACTTACAAGGAAACAGTCCGGACGGGAAGATCCAGAGGGGTAGCCGTCAGCTCCAGGTCGCTACAGTCCACTGAATCTCCGTTGCACGTACAGTTCTGGGCACACGGCAAGTCTGAACTCAGTCCATAACTGATTAACAGCTGGTCCGACAAAATGAAATAAAAAACACAACGAGAAACAAATCCAAATCGTCCCAGGGACGCCGCCATTTTGTATCCAGTTTTAATAGCGCGGCCGCTGAGTTCTCTCCTCGGTCCCACGAACTGGAATATTAATGTAGATTTGGAGAGACTGGGTGCTTTTTATAGCACATTAATAGTCTTCTTGTGATACAGAGGCTAATAGAAAGAACGAGTGCGGCGCAGTAAAACGTTTTCCATCCCAGTGGCAGTCATTTAGTTCCCAGTCCAACTTTCTCCTCTGGTGTCCGACGCGGGCTAAAAATCAAAGGTGATTCACAGATTAAAAAGCAACAGTAGCCGACAGAGAGCTCGTGTGTCGCCTTGAACCCAGACAGAAGTCGACAGTGAGTTCATAAAAGGCTAAAAGCTACTTTCTCGTTAGGGTGACTGCCTTTGGTGGCATGTTTGACAAACATGCAACAGCAAAATGTTAAAGGACACCCGGGCGGCTCTCACAATATAAGAACTGTTGATCTACGGAGCCGCAGCAGAACTGTTCAAAACTTATGCTACAGAGTAACACTGTGGCTTCTGGCGGCGTTGTTAAATGTCCGCTACAAACTTGAAGATGTATCAAATAAGTTAGGACCCCCAGGAATAGTGCCGAAAACTCCAGCGTCGGTGTCTCAAGCCGAGCGCTGCATACCGTCCAAATCTCCGCAGCGCTTCACGGCTCTGTGGTCGAATAAATCCAACTTTGAAATACACACAGCCCGTCCCACAAGAGCTCAACCGACAGCTTATCAGGTGCAGTCTGTGGTCACAAAATCTCGACGATCCGATTAATAGCAAAATAAGAGTCCCCCTCCTTCCGACCGTGTACCACCACCATGAGTTTTTTCCTTTCTTGAGTTACTTTTCCTTTTTTTCTGGAGGAGCGTTCCGTAGTCCCACGTTGGATGCACAACAGCGAGTCCAGGCTCCGCCCATGGCTCGCTGCGATTGGCTGTTGTGACTTGACGGGCGGGTCGAGGCCTAACCTGATTGGTCGTTACTGGTTTTCCGTGCGCCGCGGAGTTGGAGAGCTTTTGAGCGGCTGTCAGTCAGCGGCTGTTGGCCCCGCCCATGTTTCCCACCCCGGGGTGTGAAACCGCACCACCTCCTCTCACTCTCACTGCTTCTTAAAGAGACAATCACTGGGCTCAAGCTCTGTAATCGCATTATAACAAGCCGTAATAACGTAATTGGTTTGAATGCCATAACAATGCCATGTAAAGTGTTTGTTAGTAAGGCTGAAATCAAGATTTACATTTAAAAGAAAAAGTCAGAGCGGAAGTTCCTCCAATCTCCACACGGGATATGAAGGAGAGAGCAACTAGTGTTACTTGGCCTAGTTGAACTTTTATTAATACTGCCATTAATACTATTGTATCAGTAGGTGCGCCTCAAATGGATTATGGTCTCACTCATCAGCTCTGTAAATAATCATATGTTGCATGTATTTAGAATGGTGGAAACTAATAACTACGTACATTTACTCAAATGGCCTACTTAAGTATAATTTTGAGATGAGCTTGTTATTTTACACTTATCACTTACACTCACTACATTTCAGAGGGAAATATTGTAACTTTTACTCCACTACATTTATTTGATGAGACTGGTTCCAACTTACTTTACTGATTTAGATTATTAATGCAAAACTTTATCAACAAAAACAATATGATATATTATTATATATTAAAATACAGCAGTATATAAAGTCTGTCTTAAGTCTTCAAATTAGCCCCAACTTTACCAACTGCAACATTAAAGTGATGCATACATTAATCTGTCAATGATTATAATCCAGTACACATTATTCTAAAGTGGGACATTCTGCATAATGATACTGTTACTCTTGGTATATTTGTGTGTGTGTGTGTGTGTGTGTGTGTGTACTGCATGTCATAAAGGCTGCAACTGCTTCTCTTGATATATCTTCTGTTGATGTGAGCCTAAATTCATCTCAACAGCTCCGTTGATGCTCTGTCAAATAAGATAAAATTACAACTGAAGTTCATTTGACAGCATATCTTTGCTTGTGCTCTGTTTGAGTGTATGTGCCTCTGAGCAGTGGTGCACAGTAATAAGCACACAGTAATACTTGAGTATTACCAATTAAAGACAAGTATACTTCACTCCACTACATTTCCGCTTTATTCATTTGACAGCTAGTTACTTGTTACTAAGTTGTTTAGATTTAACTTCCCAGCAACAGAGGTGGAAGAAGCATTCAGATCTTAAGTAACAAGCAACAATACCACAGTGTAGAAATAAAGTACTCATTATGCAGAACAGCCTATTCCCAAATAATATGGATTATAATTATTGATGTATTAATGTACATCAATAATGTGCAAGAACTACTCATGTTGTAGCTGGTAGAGATGGAGCTAACTTTTAATTATACTGCTGGGTTGCTCGTCTATAACAATACATCATAATCTATTAGTTTTATTAACTCCAAAATCGGTAGGATAAAGTATATTAAAAAAAATCCAGAAATGGAAATCTGAGGTACAAGAACCTAAAATTCTAGAGTACTGTACTGTACTGTATTAAGTATTGTTACATTCCAGCTCTGCCTGGTATGAAGAAAAACTGGTTCCATATTTACCAAATACACAGTTCAAATGCTGCTTACGTTATAGCATCAGTTACAATATTACAGTAATATAACATAAGATAATAAGATTCTGTTAAGTGGCTGTTCACAATGAATACTTTTTTAAATACTTTGGTACATTTTGCTGAAAATAATTTTATTTATAAGTAAAAGTTTGAATGCAGGACTTTTACTTGTAATGAGGTAATGCAATTTTACTTTACACAACTTTCAGATGCAGATGACAGCTCTGAAATATCAGAAGAAATTCACCGAGGTTCAGTGTGTAACATTTAGGAAAACCTATTGTCAAAAACGGAATATAATATTCATAGTTATGTTTTACCTACTGTATAATCACCTGAAAATACGAGTTGTTGTGTTTTCGTTACCTTAGAATGAGTCATTTTTATCTACAGAAGGAGCGGGTCGTCTTCCACAGAGACCACCATGTTGAACCGCCATGTTTCTACAGGAGCCCAGTCCAAACCAAACTCTGGCACTAGATAGAGGCCATTTGCATTTTTAGTTTTTAGGCCACCGTAGTTTCTCCTACACACTTGGAAGGCTGAGCTGTATTCAGTTGGTTGCAGTGTGCAACTTTACCACTAAATCTCATACACTGGTAAAGTATCCAAATACATCTTTCATCACGTATGAGTATTGAGCAAAAGGGGATGTTTTGTGCAGGTGTGTCTGTGCATCTCTGTACACGATTGTGCGCTAACTAGGTGTGTATGTGTGCAGGCACACCCATGCATGTGTGTCTATGTGTTCTGTGAATCCAGGCTGATCTTTAAACCATTTTGAGCGTGCCCTGTAATAGCCACATGATAGCACGAAATTCTTCCCAAATGTTGAAGTCATGTTCGCCCGTTGTCTCAAAAATGCACATCTGTGATAAATCAGTAGTCCTGTCAGCCTCTTGGCCCCATGAACACTTTTTTCTCAACACATTTTTTTCCTGGCACTGACAGATTGGATTGATCGACTTTGTCAGAGCTATTGTGATCGCATCGTGCTGGGAGAAGTCCCGGATTTCATTGCTATTAATCACGGTAGCGAGGACTCAGATATTCACACCTGCAACACTGCAGGCAGTTTAGTGGCACAGTTCCTCGTTCCTTTTTCAGTGAATAGACGAAGGTTTCACATTGCATCATGTGTCTGTGAGTGAGCACAGTAGCCTGCAGGTGAGGCCTCTAGCTCTTCGAATCAAGGGAAATATCTAAGAAATGAGACCCTGTTAAAACATGACTTCATTGGAGATGGAAAACTGAGTAATGGACGAAAATTTCTATAGTTTGTCCTGACATCCTATTACTTTGAGACTTGGAGTAGTTTGGAGCTGTACAATGTCTTTAAAAAGAATATCTTCCTAAAGAAATAGAAAAAGATTCTCAATACTCAAATATAACTTGGCTAACACTGACAATAATAATATAATATATACATACAATATAAATATCTGGTAAATTAAGCTGCAGTTTATCTAACAAGCATATTTTTCTGGTGGTGTATTAAATCACATTTCATCATTTTTTCAGCATACTGAATATAAAATTAAGAATACATTGACAAAGTAAGAGAAATATTATTTCATATTGCCTTTTCAATTTCACTTCATTATTTTAGGCCTTCTGTGTCATTTTATGTCATATCTTCAGTAATCTTCAAGTTACAAGTGACAGGAGGTCTAAACCTGCAGCTATTCCGAGTATGCTCAGCCCTGCATTTTGATGTTCCTTCAACAGATAGGGTATGTGCACCAGGTACTTTGGGGGTCTATTTTGAGAGGACTGTTGGCACGTCTTTTAATGTGATTTATTTGATGGATGATCTGCTATGTATGACTTGGCACACAAATAACTTTACTAATGCAGCAGGCAAATACCAGGTTAAAATGTTGACCAGTCCACCAAGCTCAGGGTCTCTAGAACAAATGTTGTGGCAGAAGTTTGTAACCATTTCTTCCCACTGATGAAATGTTGTAGTACATCGACTAGTAGACATTATCTTACTGATGTAATAGAAAATAGCAAATCATTTCTTTTTCAGGTGTCACAGTATTTTGCATTAAAAAATAACAGCACATACCAACTTCCATGTCTTCCATACAGCAAAATAAGACAACAGGTGAGCATGCACATTTTTATTCACTGTACCCAAGTTATATCTGTCATTAATGTATGACACTGAGCAGCACCAGTCTGGTTTCTTTTCCTTGAGAGCTCAGACATTTCGCATATCACCATTGTGAGGGATATTTCTCCCCTGGTATGGATTGATTTATAATCTGAGAAACAGAGAGCCCTACAAAGAATTCACATTGTAAGGAAAGCATTAACAGCTTTTGCTACCATAACTGGTCCGCTCTTCATACTCACCCCGCGCCCATTCTCCTGTAAGCTGCTGTGTGAAGTTGTGACTGATGAGAAGAGTGGAAGTGAGTCTCTGATGAGAGTGCATTGTAAAGAGGATAATGACTGCACCAGATGAGCTCTTGTCTTTTTTGTATAGATGTTTTTAACACCAACCACATTGGTGTTTGCACAGCTGGAATGGAACGCAAGTGTCAATGCAGACATGTCTAAAGATTTTGGGGCTGGTATGAGAAAAGTGAAAGCAGAAGCTTCATAGGTGCACTTGATGAGTCAACCACATATTGTTCACATTTCACCTATTTTTTTTGGTGCTGGAGGGGTAACGTGATGGCGGATTGGGGATGGTGAGAAGGCGGATGGATGTGTAAGGCCTGCAGCAATTCATCACGCTCATCTTACTGGAATCTTCAAAGATAAGAAACCATCTGCTGCAGCTATTCATCAACTATAAAATGGAGAGGCGTGAAACCCGGCCAACTCATACTGGGACTGGATGGCTAACGGGTGTTGCAGGAGTGTGGAGATGCTTTGCTAATAGGAAGCAGGAACAGTTTGGGCATTTCTGTCAATACCAGGCTGCCTGCTAAGTGCCGTGATACAAGGGCGAGATCATGAGTGAACAGGGGAAAAGCACAGCAAGACAGACGTAGAGAAAGAGAAAATATAAGAGGACAAGGAGTCTTTAGAGGCTAAATTCCATATTTATGCAAATCATTCTGTCTAACGTACACAAACTGCTTTTAAGGCTCTGTCTTTCTTTGGCTTTTTGGTGTATTTATCATTTTCATGGGACCAAAAGCCTCCTTTAGGGTTTAATCAGCATAAATATGAGGACTGATACTGGCCACCAGCTCATGAACAATGTCAGACAGAACCACTAACTTGATAACGCCATTATAAGGCT